CCCCAAAACCCCAAAACCCCAAAACCCCAAGAGACTAAATCTAGTGTTTAATAAGTTATTACTAATAATAAATAAAAGAGATTAATTAAGATAGAGGTAAGCTCAGACTTTGACTCTCTAAGTTCAAGAGGTATTTCAGAACAGTTAATTGTTTTCTTTTGTAACTTTTTTCATGACTTCTAATGCTGATAAACCTAGATATTCTTGTTGCAAGGCTTCGTTCAATAAGATTCCTTTGGCTAGTTTATATGCTGCTTAGCTAACAGTATTTTTACTTCCCTTAAGGAGAGTAGTAGTATGTATCAATTCCAAAATTATGGAGCATTGAGAAGCATTTGCCAATTAAGGATCACTGATATCAGCCTTATAGATTCCTTCATAGGAATTGAAAGCATTATTAATACCTTCCTCGTCCATTTCAAGTAAACTTGATTTAGTTGTTGGATATTTAGTAATAATTTGCTTCATTAGGTAAAGAATAGCTAATTACTCAGTATCATACAAGTGAACCTATAACAAAGCTAACCTTTTTACGAATGCATGAACCAAGTCATTAGAATATTATCTTCTCTGAATGAAGACTATATTCATGCATTTCAAAAAAGCTAGGAAATCTGTAGTTGAGTAGTTAAATGGATGCTCAAACAATCTCTAAATTACAGCATATAATGTGTCCAAGAAATCTTTTTCTTCAACATTAAATGCAGTTCCTGCTCCAATATCAATAATCTAGAATGAACAAAGAAGACCAGTCAAAACATTTGAAATATTTTGCCTCTTTTGGGAGCTATTCTTGCCATTTTCCCATTCTTCAAGTTCCATTTTAAGATACTCTCTCAGTACGCTTATCAAGTCCCAAACAATCTCAATGTTTACATACTGGGTAAACTGGGGGAGTCCTAAAAATACACCCTTTAGCAACGGAGAGTCGCTCTTGTTTTTAAGTATTCCAAAGTAAATGGCTAAGATCTCCTTAATTATAAGATTGTTTACTTTAGAAGTCGAGCCTAAGTCTAACCCTAAAGCATCAGTTTCCTTCATTTCTTTCATTAGCTCTGCTTTCATTTCCTTGTATTCAGTAAACTTACCCTTCTTTCTTAGCTTGTCCATTTATTACTTAAGATCAGTTAGTTTTCTGGTTGCCTCATCAATTACCTTAGCTTTTTATTCATCGACAATAATCTTATGCGTTACCAAACTGTCAAGTAAATTTGGATCGATTTTATTGTGACTAGAAAGCGACTTTAACACCTTAGCAAGCTCCTTTAAAATTTCTAGCTTGAATTCTAACAGAGAATTGTCATCACTGCTTACTAGTTCGAATACTGTTGATGAGACCATCTTCTTGATTATTTCATCATTCGTCGAGATCTTAGGAATGATTATTTGAAGTATATTCAATCTGTAATTGAAGTGAGGATGTCTTTTAAGCAAACTGCAAAATGATATGAAGCTCAGCTCTCTCAACTTTCGATAAACATCCAGTGCTCTCTTCTTTTTCTATTAGTCCTATATACCTTATTTTCTAATGATTTTTTCAGGCTTGGTCTTTGAAAAAACTTCTAATATCTTCAAATACTCTCTGTAAGATGCTAGTAAAGATTGCTCCTACTCTCTCATCACTTTAACTTCTTTTGAAACCTTTTAGCTTTTCTTTCCTCCTGTTTTCTTTCCCTCTTCATTAGTCTTTGCATTATCCTCATTAATATCGATCTTTTACTCTCTGATTCTATAGGCTGGGAGCACATCACAAAATACCTCACATAGGGCTTTGATGCTTCTAAGGACAACATCTATATCTTTAGGATCTCCACATAGTGCTATTAAATCATTAATCTTTCTATATTTCTCATCTGCGTTCGAAACTATCTCTTTCTAAGTCATTTTTATAAAGCTTAACTTTTGAGCTACGTTCATCTCATTAATAAGTTCTTGATTCAAAAGCTCCTTATTTTCCTCAAACTTCTTCTAATCATTAAACTTCTCAACTGACTTCTTTGGATTAACTTGCTTTTGCTGGTTATGCTCCTTGATCTTATTCTTTCTGTTCTCTTTCTCTTTGCGACGACGTTCCTCCTTCTGTTTTCTCTTTTTATCAAAGTCTGCTGCTGACAAATTTGCGTCCATTTGTTAATACGATATATACTTATTTATTACCTCAGATTATTCAGAGCTTAATAGCTTAATGGGGTTTTGGGGTTTTGGGGTTTTGGGG